CTCTTGCTATATCTCTGTCAAATAAATAAATAAAACCTTAAAAAAAAATGTTTGCTGAATGCCACACATTTAACCACCTGCTATGGACATAAGAGTGAGCAAAATCACTGCCCTCATAAAACTGCCAGTTCAGTGAGAGAGATGGACATTAACCAAAATATTACATAAACATATCATTACAAACCATGATAAAGGCTTATGGAGGGTAACGTGTAGGGCACTAGGGGCACTTAGATCAGAGGGACCTGATAGGGCCTGAGGGTTCCTAGAATATTACCCTAGGGACTTCAGGGTCCTTTTAATTCAGCATCTGATCTTCCTTCCCTTCCTCCTCCCCCCCTCCTTGCTTCCTGTAGTAAATATTTACTGGGTTTTTTCCTATGTACAGAGGATAATGCTAAGTTCTTTGTATGTATGGTCTCATTTGGTTCATATAACAAACTTACAATTCAGTACTTTAAGACAAAAGGGTCTGATGAGAAAGGCGAAACCACACTTTGTTATGAGAACTATATACAATTCATAACATGAATTAAGACTCTACTGGCTGCAGGTGACAAATATCCCAATCACACTTTCGAAAATAAAACAGGAAAGCCTGGACTCATGTAAATGGCCAGAATGAGCCTAGCATAAAGCATGGTCAGATCCAGGTGCTTCAAAGATGCCACCTAGGCTCTGTCTCCAACTCACAACTCAGCTTTCACCTGTGCTGGCTTCAGCACTCCCCCTGGGGTGTCAAGATGACCACTTGCAGCCTCAGAATTATGCCCATTCTACAGGCTTGGCAACTCAGTTGGAAAAAAAAAATGAGAACTCACTTTTTAATAGTTCCAACAAAACTCCAGAGTCCTTAATTGGCCTGGATTTGAGACCATACCAACATCAACTGCTGTTCTCTGATTGGCAGTCATGTGTCCTCCATCTAGAGCCAAGGGATAGACCTGACCCCACCAGAATCCAGTCTGAGAAGAGAGAAGGACATGGCCCTCCCAAAGGAAAATCAATATGCTCTCACCTAAGAAGAGAGAATGCATGCTGGGCAGTCCAAGTCCACTAATCTCTATTGTCCTCTAAGTATGGAATTACAGTGGATTTTCAGACTATACCATATGTTCCTCCATCAATTGGGTGTTCCTCCCTAAGAAGTGAGCAAGAGTTCTCATTTAGTGCGACACTGGCTGGATTTGCCCTGGTCCTACTCCAGCTGCTCAGAGACCTTGGCTTCTTGCTCTGAGGCACTTATTGGAGTCTTAATATTTGCTTACTTACTCAGAGCAGTCTCCAAGTCCCAATACTTTGTGGAATACTTTTCTGCCTCCCTTTAACTCCCAAATGATGTGCCCTACTCAGTGCTGGTGTGACCAGCAAAGCTGCAGTTCTCTTGCTCTTTGACCAGCATCACAGGGTCTGTGTAAATTATAGGGAGGAAAGGGAATAAGAAGCCCTTTGTTGGGAAGTTTTGCTTCCCTTTTGGAGTCTGAACTGCGAATGGCTTCCATTGGGCAGAAAGAGGAGTATCAGGGTAATTCCTGGAACATCTAACAAACAGACCTCCATAAGAAGGATCCTGCGGGAGGATCAAGGCTAAACATTCTATGAGTTATACAGCAAGTACTACAATAATCAGCTGCAACCACTCTGTCTGTGGGCATGTTTTAAAATCGGCCTGGATCCCCCCACCCAATGATCCTCCCACAATTTCTGCAAATTCCCAGCAGCTAATGCTCTAAACAGCCTCTTTTGGTTCTGACTCCAGCTCCTGGTGGATTTTTTTTATCTCACTCACTGAGGCTGATCTCTTCTTTCTGATCTGAGCTGTCCCAGAGGTGGGACTCAGTTCCCTTTTTCCATGCATTACCAAAAAAGAAAAAAATACACATACACAACCTGAATCGAAACGCTGTGTCTTCATCAGACTTTCCTAAAGTTATGAAGAGACAGAGTGGTTTTATATTGTTACCATTACCATGCTCCATGGCTCCTTCACCCTCTGCAGACACTGCTTGTATTTCCCTTTGCTCAGGAAACTAAATTCCCCTTATATTATTCAGAGCAACTTAGCTCTCCATCCCCCTTCCTCTGACATCCAATGCCCCATACCTAGAGTCAGCCCCACTGTGAACTATCCACTCCAGGTTCCACGCCTGACCAGCACTGAGGAACAAAAGGAAGTTTTGAACTT